GGGGGGGGGGGGGGGGGGGCACTAATATATTTTTTGCTCAGGGCCCACCAATGCCTTGAATCGGCCCTGCCAGGGAGTACTGATCCAGAAGCTGCAAGAACAGCCGCAGTGGCTTGGTGGCTGCCAGTCTTGAAAGTAAACTTTTTTTAGGAGAGAAAAAAGCATCCATCACCTAAAAAACAGGCAAAAAATAAGGATCCCTGGGAAGTGGGAGGGGTTATGAGGTCATTACAGCTCTGTTTGTCAGTGTCCAATCAGCCGAAGGTAACTGCATATAACCCAGCCATCTATGATTATGCCTATATCTTGTACTGTATGATCAAGACAAAATCATTGCTTTCAAATCTATAATGTACACCAAAGGAAATGGAACAAGGCTAATAGTTTTATTAAAACTCTTAATGGCAATGCATTTGATAGAAATGTAGCAAAGCTGATGGTTTCAATTAAAATTGGATTGGTTATAACTTGTATTTGTAAATCCATCTAGTTTCAGCCTGTAAAATTAGTTTGTCAAAATGATCACCCCTATATTTTACATACTTGCTCAGGGGCAAAACATCCTATTCCTTTGCACTGCCCACTGTGTTCCAAACATATTAACTAAAGGGGATCCAATATTTGCATTTTTTTCTAATTAAATATTGTCATACAGTCCATTTTTTATCAAAATCTTTCCATTTTGAAGGCAAACATGATCACTTGCCTTAGAATAATACAATAATTACAATTTCAATAGGGAATGGCTTCCTTCTCCCTTTAGAAGAAGTGTCCTTCCAAAAATAAAGTAGGGATGGTCAAAACCTGAGTGTCCCACTGCCTGTTTTATAAAATGCAAATTTCTCAAAAAGATTGGTTCAAGAAAAACACACAGGTACCTCAACTGCATATTATATTTTTTGATTTGACTGTCAAAATCAACTTTACTGGGGAAAATGAGACAAACTATACAAGAAACCTACCTCAAATAACAGAGTTGACAACCTCCCCCAAGGTCTTTGATTAGGAGCATACCCACAGCTAAATATTTGAAAGCTAAGAGGAATTGTCAAAAATCTGCTAATTATGAGATGGCAGAAAAAAATTGCAGCAAAGGATTGAAGAAACAGGTTAGAAGGTTCAATATATTGTGTATATTACATGAGAAGGGTGAGCACATATGAGACATTACTCTATAGTGGTCAGAAAAACTTGGAAGTTTCTTCACATTATAGCTCTGTGCAAACCTGCGATTAAGCCGATTTCCATGCAATGTTCTGTCAAAAATGTTAAATTGTCAGTCCAAGATGAAATCAATATATCATCTATTTACCTATGCTGGCTTGGCATATGTGGCAACCACATCTTGTGGTAACTTGTGAAACTTAAATGTACGTTTTAATATGTTTTTAAAATTGTATTTAATACGTACGATAAGGTATTTTAGGAATGATTGTTGAACAGTCCAAGGGTGCCTAGTGACTTTTAAATTGGTATAGTATAGGGATTTTTGTTTTACCATGTATAGCAACCGCATTTTAGTATATGGAGTGTTTTGGATTCAATTTGTAATATGATGGTTTACCTCCAGAATAAGTGTCAGTGAGCCATTGTGTGGGTTGGTATCTAGTTTAAATAGGGTTCAGGAATATCAAGAACGAGATGCACAAGTGAGGTGCTGTAGTGCTATAAGACCAAATTCAGTTTATCAAGATTTAAACAATCAAAAACATTGTAATAAAATTGACCCAAAACATTATAGTTTTCTATATAATGAACTGTATACATGTGTATATTGCTTGCATGTTTAGCTGTGCATGTTTGAGTTTGTGAAATAAATCCTGAGAAAATATATATGTTTTATATAACACTATGCATTCACTTAAATTCAATTTGCTCTTCCGCACATCAAATTTCATTATCACAGAGCACAGGACACTTTCTGGTCCAGGCATCATTCAACCATTTTTCTGCACACTGAGTAAACAGCCATCATAACTCTGCCAAGAGGCCTAATTAATTCCAATAGCACATTTATATCTGTCATTATTACACTCATCTTCCGTTAAAATTACATGCCAACTTTTTTTTTGTTAACACTATCAGATATTGATACACAGTTACACAATATCTAGCACAAGCAGAGATTCTTGTCAAAAAGTATAAAATTATTTCTTACCTTTTCCTGCGTGAGTCTTTGGAGATGAATTCCAGATGACAACATTGTAGCAAACATGGTCAGCATGTACTGCTGTACTTTGCCAATTCCTGTCACCAAAGTGTTGATCACCAACACAAGTCCCACTTTCTCAATGACACTCTGGAAGACCGTAGGGGCATGATGAGTGATCCTGCAAAGAGCCTAAACCGAGACAATAAGTTGTTCAGTTAATACCCATCACTAACACCATGTCCTACCATTTACATCATAATTCTAGGATTATTTTGAATGTGAGTTTAGGACAAATTATAAATAAAATTTGTTGCGCTAGGTCAGTGTCACAAACACTCAACACTGATGTCCAAACAAGCGTAGGTCAAACCCAAGGAATTACAACATATGTGCTAAACGTGCAACCTCTTAAAGCAATAAATATATATACCAATGGGCTGAAAAGTGTATTTCTACATACACCAACCGCAGCAATAAATATTTGGAGCTCTAAAGCCAGTAAGTGGCATTAGTTTAAACTACACCTGTGCTGAAACATTCACTGTGACGAACACATAAATAAACAATTGAGGACAAATTAGTTATGGGCCTGGTAATCATTTCTTATCATGATTTTATACAAAGTAATTTATTTTTAAAATACAGTGAAACATATTTTGTTGCAAGCTGCGGGTTTGGATAACTTTGTTTTATACATTAAGACCTTTCACATGTCTTTCGCCTGCCATGGAAATGATAGATACATACTGTATCTTCTGTTTTTGGAAGGCAATGATGTACTTCGCAGAAGCGACTTTTGTTCTTTTGTTACTTACATTACCACCAGTTGGTTATTGTTTTACACTATTCCTGTTATTAGGCTCTTTGGTTTGTGAATTAGAGCTCTTAATCCCTAAAGTAAGCCTGTCATGAAGGAAATATGGGGCTGGCATTGCTGATCTAAAAAATTGGATTTTTGTTCTCACCGTAAAATCATTTTCTCTACGTTCATTGAAGGACACATAAGAGATCCTGAATCTCTTACTGTAGGGTTATAGCGTCACCTACAGGAGCAGGACACTAGGCAAAAAAACAAAAGCGCAGTCTATGGGTGGCCCCGACGGTGGCCAAACCCCCAATCTGCTAGAGGCAGCACAGTTAGTTACAAAGCAGTAGATAGATCACGACTGGCTAGAAACAAACAATCAGAGGGACAGGTGCTGTTTTCTTCAATGAACGCAGAGAAAAGGATTTCACAGTGAACTGAGAACCAGTGAGAAAGAGGAAAAAAGGTATATTCCCAAAAGGTCCAAAAAGAGTCAAGGCACGGAGAGAAGCCACTCAGCAGAGTAATAGGAGAATGTACAGCAAAGTCTGCAAAGGTCACACACTCTACAAAAACCCCAAACATGGAATAGAAGGCTAGCAACCCTAGAAAACAAATTGCAAGCCCTGGAACACAACCCTGATGGCACAAGGATACCAGTACCAGGGATTCAAACCAGTGCGATTAGTTATTTGTATGGTTTTGTGCAATTAACACACTGAAGCACATCTACCATGTGTTAACAGTGTGGGTGGTGCTATGCCATTCATTTAAATGGCCAAACACACCTCCCATCTGCAATGCGATTGATCGCAACGCAAAGTACCGCAATACAGTTCTGATGTCACTGGTAGTGCCAAAAAGAGTGGTAAAGTGCTGCAACACCCAAATCCCTGAGACAGTCCCAGGCCTTGAGCCAGGACCTCAACATGTGAATCCCTGGATCTTTATTTAATCTTTTAAATCGGACCTTTAGCTTAAAGGGGCTGAGTTTGTGTCTACTTTGTTTGTTGGAGGGTCCTAGGCAGGGTCATCTCCTGGTGCCTCCCTGGCTAGTGGAGGTGTAAAAAATGCCACCTGGGAAAGGTTCAGGTAAAAGGATTACCATAACACCAGGATGCTGACTGTGTAACATAAACCTCTTTTACACTTCACTGCATCCGAGTTATCTCTTACTATAACCCGGTTAACCCTTGAAACTCCATCAACTTGCCACCTCTGCAAGAAGGTGACAATGTCGTGTGTTCACTACCCTTAATCACACTAATTAACAACATACTTACAATAAATCATGGTACTGTGTCCACTGGGCCTGACACAGTGAACTGCCCATGCACCCCTCTAGTTGCCATGGTACCTGAAATTTTTTCTCCATTTCTCCTTTTCCCCAGTTGCACTGTATTTGTGTACATAAGGATACCAGGGTCAGGGTACCATGATATTGATAAAGAATGCTTTTGGCTTATTCTTTTAATATAGAAGGATAAGAGAAAAAAAAAATATGGGTGATTAATGAAAGTCTGCTTTTTGACATTATGTATGTATGTATTTACTGTATATATTGGTCCATTAGCAGGTCCTTGTTCCCCCTGCTTATGTTTGTATTTAATATTTTTGTTTTTAAAATACCTTCCCATTAGTGAACGAATGCCCTGTGCACTGTGGTCTTTAGTCTACCAGAGCAGGGAATAAAAGAAGCAACCTACACCACTTCTTCAAAACGATGGAGGCCCTATTGGACTATGTGGCAAGAGCTTTTTGGAAATGAGGGGGTGTCTTTTCTGTGGTGACAACGCTGCAGTGAATGCCCTTCAGCAGTGTTAAAATCTAGGAAGAATGTCCATGGACTGGCAGGATTACCAGGTATTTATTTCACAAAGAATTGAACTTTGATTGACCAGAATTAAGCATGAGTATCTATTTTGTTCAGCAAGTTACTCAAAGATTTTCTTTATTTTTGGTATAGTATTTAATTGTTGGTATAGTTATACGTAACATGCATACATCTGTACTTCCTAGTTTAATCAGATGAGACCATTTTAAATCTAACATGTCATCAAAGTCTAAGGCCTCAGGGACTGAACTGATCTCTTTTACCTCATTGGATCTTTAAAACAGGAATCAGACCAGAGAAATCATGTGACCTAACTACCCAATACAATTTAATGTCACTTTCACATCCTTTTATAAAGCAAAGTTTTTAAATGTATGGCACATTAACTTGTGCTTTAAATGCAGGTTTTTTTTTACTCCTTTGTATTTTATTTTTGTAATATATCTTCAATATACACTTCAACTAGATTTAAATGCAAACCATTTTAATGCATTCGCTAAGAATTCTGGTATGTAAAAGATTCATCATTGCCTGGCTACAACATTTACAATAAACCCATCCTAGCCTGCTTTATTTTGCACATCTAGCAAAAGCAAGATGTTTCATGAATATTTACAAGAATTTATACATAGACAAAAGATGACAATGCAAGTTTCAAAGGTAACAGAGGACAAAATAATAGAGGAAAGAACTGTTACACGTAATAAAACTTACAGAGGATACAGGGACCATGTCCTCATTGTTAAGGAATGACCATCATCGGTCAACTCTAAACTTTTTTTTCATTTAGGACACTGACACTTCAAGCTAGGAAATATATTTGTCCATTTGTCAAGAGAAAAGCTACAAATTGTATCTCTCTAGTACAATGATCCAGTCTCCTCCCATGTGGAATATTACCGAATGTAGATGATATATATGCTGGAGATGCAGAACAGAGAGGGATACTTACTTCCACACATGGTGGAACTGTTCTCTCATTTGAACATTTTGAAACCAAATTTTTAGGATACACAACTATATCTTGAGCTCATTATACCCTCACCAGAATCTCCTTTCAATCTCTCCAGGCACTAATTCGATCCAGAAAAAAATCATTGCACAATTTTATCTCTGGATCAGCAAATTATTTCAAAAAAACTTACCATGATCCTATTAGTAGACACAGTAAACAATATCACGAGCATGGAGGAAGCCTCCACAGATGATAACACCACTGACAAATTCTTCGCTCAATGGTATATCAGGCAGGACTTTTTAGAAGCTTTCAGCTTACTTGTAACAACCCTTTTAGATAGTGGAGAGTTTTTTAAAGTTAAGGAATTTCCGAACATTATTCTAATGAGTTGCGTGAGCACCTTGGTCCCCTCCTCCCTCTTTTCCTTGTTCCCCATTTTTTCCCTCTTTTCTCCCTTCTTTTTACTTTTTTTTCTTTTCCTTACCTACCATATTTGCTTGTGCCACCCCAGCTCTCTCTCTACCATGTCTACAGGTGAAAGGTGCAAACTTCTTCTTATGTTTCCAATGTATGCAAAGATTCGTATTACTCTGGTCTTTTGTATGTACTGAAACGGATTACCACAGCTTTTACACCATGAACCTTGACTCTTACAAAATCTCCCGGAGATGGAAACTTCTTCTTACTTTCCAGTCCCTTTTCTTTAATTACAGCTCTTTATTTTGTATCTGTCTATGTGCTGTACTGTATACTTGTTATGTGTTACAATCTTTGCTCTTCTTTAATAAAATAACCCGTAACCGCACTATCCAAAGCTACACCTGAACAGTTTTGGCTAGAGTTAGGCTTCAATTGAATTGTTTCTCTTTACCGGTGCCTTAAAGTAAACCTGTGCTTTACACAAATATGGCAAACAGATTCACCTTAATTTAGCCCTGCTCAGCAACTCATACTTTCCCTTACTGTTCCGTTCATCCTTCAGAGCTGAAGGAAAAACTTTTATAAGCTATAAGTAGCTGGGGTCGAGGATTACACAAGACTATGGATTCTGCATGTGACAGCATTGATTGTCACATGCTACTCCATATTTGAAGAACTGGGTATTTTCATCTTGCCCTGGTGCTGAAGTAAGAGGCGGGGAAGCAAAGTTAACATATAATACTGGATGTAGTTTATGCTGCGGAGAGGGGTGTTAAAATAACTATTTTGCTTTACCTTGAAGGAGCAAAGCACAGGTTTGCTTTATAAATAAAGGAAAATTGCTTTTTGATTGAAATAGTATCAACATTTACATTTAAAAACTCACATATAAGGGAACCAAAAATAGACTGTAATGCTTGCAGCATGAACGTAAGGTTATTGATACATTCTATAGCCGACGCTAAACTGACCGATGTGTCACCAGAAAATAAAGAATGGAAGGAACGTCAAGAGACTCAATAGCTGACTGCATTACTTCTTTGGAAAATACTCTTAGAGCTTAAGAAACATTTTTACCATGGAAGTTGTAAAAGGTGCTTGACATTTAAAAGCAGAACATGAAATTGTAGTAAAAACAAAAATCACTAGATTCTAAAATAAATACATAAGCATTCATGACTAAACTTCTCTTCTGGAAATGCATGCTGCCTGGCTGTCACTCCGATCCTCTAGTCTTGTTGCTTTCTGAATCACTGACCTTGAAAATGTTTGCAGTTCATATTTTTACTTTTTGCTGCATTACTGTAGAAGATCAGTGCCTTGGAAAGCATTTTAGCCAAAGACTCAGCATGGCAAACAGAGCAAGCATTTTCAAAGGAAGGTAAGAATAATAGCCTTTGTCATGTGTCTAATGAAAATAATTCTTTAATTTTATCTGTAATATTTTAAAACATTAATAAATGCAGAGCTATACGAGTGATTTTAGTCATACTTCTGTGTAACCAAAAAAAGACCCACCTACTCTGCAGCTTGAGAACATAATTATATGAGATCATCTAAAAGGTAATTCTAAGTGCAATCAGTAGCAAGTGACTTTGGCATTTGTACAATTGTTTGTGACTTATTCTAGGCTGAAGCTTCTTATGTAGTAAATTGTATTATTGTATATTACACTATTTTTAAGATGTGATCAATCACAGGATAGCAAATAAAGGCAACATATAGGAGCAGACATGTGCAGGGGGTAGGGGGCAGTGGGTACTTAAGCACCTGTCCTTACTGTCTGTTTCATTACAAGGCCCCCTTTGATAGTGAGGAATGTTAGGGGGGCAGCTCTGAGTTCTTTATATCTTGGGTGTATTTATTTTATGTATTAGGGTGAATTACCATTACTAAAGGAAAGCACTGCGGGCAGACACCCCTTTCTGTGTGAGTCTTTTGTGGATAAGCATGTTTAGATTTTAGGTTAACATGTGCTTTGCTCATGCAGGGCAAAGCAACAGGTTCATTTTAATCCCCTTCCTAGCAGCACATGCTAATCCTTAACTTGCTCCTCCACCACTCTGTTCAGCTGCTGAGAGGAGCAGTTTTCCGTGTAAGCTACGAGTCACTCAAGTCGTAGCTTACAGCCAGCTATGGACCCTCCACATGTGATAGAGCTGGTGCCTAGTGACTGACCCAGCAACTCACATGGAGTGATTCACATGCTCCTCTATAACCAAAAGTACAATTTTTTTTCTTTGCTTCTGGCACTGGAACAAAGCGACAGCAGACATAAGGAAAAAATGTTTTGCTGGGTTAGATAATTAGAGCAAAAATATTCATTGGCAAAGTACATGTTAAACAGAGATTTGATATAACGCAAGCTGTTATGTAATTCAATGTTATTCTAAGTGGCCTCCCTATTTCAAGCGACAACCAGCCACAGTATTCTAAAAATGGAAACAAAAGTGTATGTTTCTTTTTCTTGTAACCATGAAAACAACTGAGATGCTCTGTATGCTGTTTCTGTACAAAATTATTTTACATATCTCATTGCCTGATCAAGGGATGCAGTATTAGTGCTGATATCAAGTATTTGGTAGAGCACTCGTACTCTCCCATATGCTCAGAGGGAGATTTCCTCTGACCGGCAGCGCAGCGAGGGAACATGGAGCTGGCTTCCCAGCCAATCAGGAAGCTGGGCAGCAGGTAATGACTCACCGTCAGGCTTCCTGATTGGTCGGGAAGCCGGCTCCATGCTGCTTGGTCGGCTTACTCATTATGTGCAATCCATCTTCAGCTGGAGACGAAAGCTTGCAAGCTGCAGTCTTTACTCAATCATATGTATGAAGTGCAGAGCAGTGACAGCAGAATAAGAGTGGTAACTGTTACCATGGTTAACACAGGGGAAGAGAAGGGAGTACGTACATCTTATTTGGGCAGGTGAAGGGAGGTGGTGGCAGGGGGCTTGTAGATTGTGACAGAGTTCAGCTAGCATTCAACAGAATGTGAAAGAAATGCCGTAAAAATAAATATATTATATATATTTAGCTACAACACCTAGAGTTAACCCACAGAGATGAATAGCGGTAATGAGAGTGTATTTGTGTGTGTAATGACCCGCCTCCCGGCTTCCTGATTAGCTGTGAAGCTGGCTTTATGCTGTTTGGTTCGCTCATTGCTAATTGGCTGGGAAGCCGACTTCCCGGCCAATCAGCATGGAGCCCGCCAAACAGCATGGAGCCGGCTTTCCGTGCAGTCAAGAAGCTGGGCAGCGGGTAATGACACGTTGCCCAGCTTCTTGCTTGGCCGGGAAGCCGGCTCCATGCTGGGAAAGTACTGGTATCGGTACTCAGTATATTTAAATGCTCACAAAAGCAATTGTGATGGGTTCTCTTTAAACTAATTTTCTTTACAGGTCTGTCTAAAAAAATATTAAAAAGACTACAGTTCCCCTTTAAACACTGTAATAATAACAACCTACTAGAACATTTTTCTGCTTTATAACCAGGCTAATTTGCTGGTAGTGAAGGCACAGGATAAAATTAATACTGACAAGATGATGGGTTTTCATACCGATATTGCTGTGATCCTAAGAGAATCGACAGTCGAATGGGTAAAGAGATACCACAGTGCAGGTCCAATCTCTCCAGTGATGAATCCTTGGACATGCGAAGTGATCGTTGTGCAGACATTTTCAATTATTTTGGCAGTCACATGATGAGTGATTGGCTCTTCCTATGGAAGAGGAGAAAAAAACACATAAATATATATTATATCCTAGCCTCACGTTTACAGAAAAAGACAACTCCCAGGAGCTCATGAACCATCTGTTTATGTTTACTTCACTACTACAGCTTAATGTAATATATTACAGTCAAACTTCGTTTAAGGTCATAAAATGAAAATAAAGTATGTTTTGTTGTGGCTATTCTTTTTTCAAATGTTTAGGCTTGTAGATGGTCATTAAGGTACTGAGAAACTACAAGCCCCAGCATGCTCTGGCTGTTTATTACTAATTTTGCATAATCAACACTGGTACCTGTAGTTACTCAAAAATTTATGTTGTGGGTATGGCAAATCATCTCTGTGAATTGCAATTTTTGTCTCTGTTGGGTTATGGTGACAGGGGTTCTGAAAGTTTTTTTTTCTGAAATTGTTCTTGTTGCAAAAGACACAGAATATACTCAGTCATGGGCATCATTTATAAAAACTGAACAAAATAGGGAGTGGAAGTCTACAGTAATCAGGCAGTAACACTTTCTTAGTGCATTCCTACTGCTTGCTATTAACAACAACTCAATATGTGCTCTACTTTTTATGCCGTTTTTACAATAGCCTAGTGTCCTAATAGCACTTGACATATGCAGTCTGTGAGAGTCCTGGGTTCATCTTGCAAGCAAGTTTCATTGCAAGCCAAGGTGTCTGAACATAAATAAACATAAATCAGAGTCCTTATACTCGTACACTATTGACTATAAAACATAGCTTTTTTTATTTTGCAAAAAATAGTTTCCACTCACTCAATGGCTCAGTTTAAAGCTCCTGTGCTACTACCTTTGTCCAGGCAAAAACCCATTGCTCAGACAACTAGCCCTGCATAGGAGTTCCATTTATTTGGTCTTCACAGAAATATAACTACAACTACTAGTGGGAAAGAGGTAGGTAAATAACCTATACAAAAATGTCTTCAATTACAGCACGGAATTCTTAAAATATAATATTAAACAGAAATAATAATATTTCCATGATACGCAGTGGTCTATGCAGGTCATGGTGATACCACAAGGCCCACAAGCATGAAGGAACATACTATCTGGCTTTACAATAATGTATCCAGTGTAGCAGGACCATTTGGCAAATGAATTTGAATATTTTGAATTAAAAAAGTGGTTATTGAATATGTATGCCAGAAGCAAAACTGCAACCAAAAAGAACTTCTACGTGCAAATGTAAAGAAAGAAACGAAAAGTTTCTGTCAGCAAACCTTCAATGGGATATTGTTATGAGGAAACTTTGTGTAAACAAGCACGCCTAGGCGGATCAAGACCTAGTCAGGCTTTCTGGCACCATTGACTACTGATGGCAATTCATGATACAATGCTGCCACCTAGAACTGGAAAAAGCGAAATACATGTTGCATAGGCTCTCATACAAGTCTTGAGGGGCACCGCCCACAGGTTGGCTGCCAATTTGTCTTAAAGGAACACTATGAGGTGAGTGCTTTTTACTCACCTCATAGTTCTAGCCAACCTGTGATAATGAGACTGTCACAGGTCGGGTAAGTAGATCGGGAGGTGAGCGAACACATAACGGCGTTCGCTCACCTCTCGATCCTGTCACGGCTCTCTGCCGTGACAGGGGAGGGCCTGGATTCCCCACTCTGATCCGCCAGTGATGACTGGCGGAACGGACTGGGAGGAGGCGGGTACATCTGGCTCTGCCTCTAGAGAGGCAGAGCCAGCTGTCAGTCACGCAGCTGGGCGGATCCATACATAATTGTCGGGATCCGCTTCAGCCGCGGCCTCTCGGCATAGCGCGAGCAGCAGCTCGCGGTATACTGCGGCGTTTCAGTATACCGTGAGCTACAGCTCGCGGTGTACTGAGCCTAGGGTGATGGGAGGGCGCTAGTTTGTGTCCTTCCGTTACCCTAAGGAGAACTATGGGGAAAAGCCTTAACCCCATAGTTCTCCTTTAATAAAAGCCAGTAGCTGAAAAGTGAAGGGGGGATATCACCATGGAACTTTGACCGAGAGAGAGAGAGAAAGAGGTCAGAAGGATTGAACTTTGACCAAGAGAGGACATAACGGAGAACGAAGGACTTTGAGAGAGATTGGAACCAGAAGCCAGTTTGCTGAAAACGCTCAACTGCCATGAAATCCTGTTCAAAGAAGGAATTTGCAACTAGAAGCCAAGTACCTTTAGTGTTTCCTCTTTAGAAACTGTTCCACGTACTAGAAAGGATAGTGTAGTGGGTACATGTGTAGGTTTGTTTGTAGCAGCCTGTATGTCTGTTTTTGTTTGAATTTTCTTGTAACAAGTTTGTGCATGTGGCATTTTTGCCTAGTAAAGTACTTTAAATGCTACTGGGTCAGTTTCCTTGAGGTTTACTGCAGAACCAGACAACAAATATGAATAAAGTTTTGCCAAGCTTTACATTTGGGCTCGTCCTAGGGCTAAGCTTTAAATTTTGGGGTCTGGTCTTTGGGATTTATAGTCCAAACCAAAACAAGCACAAAGCCTTGTTCTTTCTAGGGTAACTGAGCAGCTAATTTTAAATAATCTTTTTATTATAAAATTATTTTTAACTTACATTTTTGCTTCAGAGCCATGCTTGTTGCCTCAGTAGAAAAAAAAATACGGGACACAAGATGAGTATTCAGGTACATTGGTTATGCCTCTGTCTTCAGGAGATCAGACACTGGCAAAACAAAGCTGTAAGGACAGCCCTTTGTAATTGCACCTATTCCTAGCATCTATTTTCTATTCTCAGGATCATAAGAACAGAGGGGAGGGACCCGTACTCCAAGACAAGGATTTTATTGTCAGATTCTAAATTGTCAGATCCTGTACATTACAGGACAAAGGATGGATATTCAGGTACATTGGGATGTCCAAAAGCAGTCCAACTGAAGGGCTAACAGAGCAAAGAAAGGCTAACAGACCAAAAAAATGGGTTAACAGATATGGCTCAACAGAGCCTACAAAGCTGCCTAAATTGCCTTACAACCGAATATGGCATTTGTTGAGGCCTGAATATCCACCTGCTAAAATCTAAAGAACATGTGATCAGCCAAGGGGACCCAAGACCCTCATGCAAAAACGGAGGGTCAGTTGGCTCCTGAACTGCAGAGTCCGAACATGAAAATGAAGAGAATGGACTTAGTATTTAAAAAAAGAAAATGGAGAGAATGGAGTTTGTGTATGTTATGAAAAACCAGGGACATAGCCATGTATAGTATAAGATCAGGGCCAGATACACAAAGTGATGAGACAGTTCCAGCATAGATTTCTGGAGATGTAGCATTTACCAAAAATTCTATAAGGTCTGCAAGGTCTGTTGAACATTGGCTGCCACAGCCTGAGCCAGCTTTTCCCTCAGAAGAAGGTTGTCCAGATATCCAATTATGGGGATGCCCCAGGAACGAAGCAGAGATGATATCCTATAGTTCTGAAGTCATGTCTGCAGACTGTGACTCCTTGTGCACCAAGGGCGACAGTGGCTAATACAGGGAATCAAGCCCATACTGGACCGCTCCTCCGGAAGACTTTCCTCCAAAAGGTGTCCTCAGAAGCAGGTACCCGCATGGGCGTGCTTAACGCAGAGTCGATTTTTAAAGAACACATTACAGGCTCCATGTCTTTCTCACAGCAGGGTCCGAGTACAGCCTCCAAGGCTATCATGAGTACAATGAGCCCAAGTGGCTCTGCAGCAATTAAAGAATCTTGCTCGTAGAAAAAAATATCCTGATATAAGATAGAAAAAAATAAGTAGTTTGCTTCTTTCAGAAGAGAGAAGATGTGCATTCTACTAGAACAGTAGCAAAAAAAAAAGTGAGGCATGCTGGGAGTCAGAAGGGTTTTACTGGGCTGTCCTTAGAGCTTCATGTCTAACTTTCTAAGCATAACCCAATGTACCTGAATACTCAGCTTGTGTTCTGTAATGCACAATTAGGAGAAAACGTACTTACTGTGCTTGTTCACGGCTAGAAGGTTCTTCCTGAGGCAGAAAAATGGGTTAGGGCTGGGGACATAGACAAGGCAGCAGAGGAACTGTACTGGGCAGTGTTTTTCAGAAAGATCTTCTGCAGACCTTGGATGAAAATGACTGAACATAATGTTTTAACGGTTAAATAACATGTTCAATTCTACTTAAATAGATGATTTACCTTTAAAATGGAGGGTGAAGAAACGGGTCCTTTTACTGATTTTTGCTTTACAAAGTTATGACCTAAGTATTGTTATTTTTGTTATTATCATTGTCATTGGTATTACACGGAGTAAAACTAGACCACTTGTTACAGTTAACATTCAACAATTCCTATTTATTTATATCTCAGCTAGCTTAAATCTGTTTCCATGCAATAACAGGTCGACATTTTGCTCTGACTGTGACATTCTAATTGCAGAGCTTTTGTTAAGTGAAGCGAAAATGCAAATATTTTGATGTGCTGTTGGTTCACAGTAGTTCAAGAACAAAATGCTGTGCACTTATATTACAAAACACACAAAATAAGTAAATCTTGCATTTATTTTCTAAAGAAAAATAAAACCATTCAACTAAAACAATGAGTTTGTTTTATTAAATGCAATAAATTCTGTTATATATATGGTAAAGATAATGCAATTAATTAAATTGTAAAAACAGATCACACAAAATGTTAAGTTTATTTTTGTTAAACAATGTAATAGAACCTGCAAGCATGTATATGCAGCTGGCCTGCAAGTTGAAATGAAGTTCATACTCATGCTGGATACACAAAAAAGGTACACAAAAACGTAACATGCTCTAATCCTTTAGTAAATCAACCACAATGTGTAACATGCTCTAATCCTTTAGTAAATCAACCACAATGTGTGCACAATGCTTCTCAAACTACTCACTTTCCCACTTTTTAAACTCTCCACTTGTTTTACTTTTACATTTCCAAAGTGGATTTCTAAAGTTGTACTTTCACATAGTTTTTCACAAGATTTACACAGCTTTCACCCAGGATTTACACAGTTTTTAAATCCAA